CTATCAAAAGGAACTGTGTGTTTTGGGTTTTGTTTCTAAAAACCATATTGAATCACCCCCAAATACCAGACAGTCTGTTCACCAAGGCATTCCCAGTGATAACTTCATGATACTTTCCAATTTATCTGGATCATTCCCCAATATTATTCAGTCGCCTTCTGCCCTTTCCGCTGATTTAAGACTCTGTAAGAACCAGTGTAGGTACACCACAGTACAAATGTAAGCATAACAGTAAACACATGCTAACTGTGTTAGTTTTCAGCATGGTCATCCCAATCACATGAGAATTGATTTTTAGATTTTTTTTTCTGTTTGATTGTTTTGCCACAAATGAAGATATGGAAAACTTGATTTTCTGACTGAAGCTTAGCCAAAAGAACACTGAAAACCACAGCTCCCTTTTGTATCTAACCTTCCAATTTTCCCACTTTACCTGTAAAATGACTTCTTCTATGTGACCACTATTCAGTTTCTCCTGTAGCTTTTGCACGTCAGTCTCCTGTGTATTCAAATACACATAAATAAATGTCTGTATGACATGTCTACTTACTGAGAAGTAGAAAGCCCAGATAAACTTTGAAAACAATAGTTTAACCAGATCACGCTCTAATCTTCCCCAAACCTTGCACCAAATTAGCTAACTTCTACCATTTTACATTATCAAAGAAATCTCACACACTTTTCTTATTGGAAATCAAACATTAAACTCTCAGTGATAAATATAAAAAAAACCAAGTACAATCTAATGACATCCCAAGAATAATTAGCAGCTCAGGGCTTCAGTATGTATCTTGAAAGACAATTTTGATCTAGCTTTTTATAAAAGGATATGCAACCTTCCAATTACCATCTTAAAAACATAGTTCCAGTATTGCATAGTTTGATGTACCAAAAAGCAGTTTAAAGTGTCAAAGGCAAGGACTGGGATTTCAGCAACCCTATCTAGTGGGAGGTGTGCCTGCCTATGGCAGGGGGTTGTAACTAGAAGAACTTTTAAAGTCCCTTCCAACCCAAACCATTCTGTGATTCTGTGATTTTGCTAAGATCCTACACTGTTAAGAACACATGCATTTTTGTGCAAGTGTGTGGAAATTACCACTGTTCCTAAAACTTTATCTTAAAAATTATGTTTTCTTCTAATTTTCACAAAAAAAAATCAGAAAGAAATTAACAATTCTTTTTAATATACCATGAAAATGTTCTAGTCAGTAACAAAAATAAACCTCAAGTCTTCAATTATTTCTGAATTGTTACCTGAAGGGTATATATACTCCTGAAAAGAGCCAGTCATTTGGAAAATTATTCTTCTCATCCTAAAAATGTTTTCATGCGTAACATTTATGAACCAGCACCGTACTTACCGTTTGCACCAAATTAAACCGCTCATTTATAATCTGTTCAGTGTATTTCCTGTATGCTGCATCTTTGGGAATGTTCTGCAGGACACCAAGGATTTTCGTGTACAGCATTCGCAGGCGCTGAAGTGATGACAAGACATGGTTAAATTACACAACTAGGATTACTTAACTTGTCCTACTTAACCTACTAGCTATCTAACTATACACAAATATAGAGGGTTATAGTATTCAGAATAGTATCAACATAGTATGCAGAAAAGTGGGATTAACAAAGTAAGTAAGTCTGAACCACAGAACTGCGTCTTGGTTAAGACTGGGATTTATCAGGACTGAAAAGTTAGGACTCTCAGAGTCCTCAAAGAAAAAAAAAAAAAAAACAAGTTGCAATCTGTAGTACATTTGATGCAAAATGGAAGCAATAAAATCTGTGTTTCTAATATTAACCATACTTAAAAAAAAATCTGCCTGAACATCAGTTTCTGAAAAACTACCTGAGAAATACTGCCTTAAAGATTAGAGAAATCAAATACTACTTCATAAAACTATGTACACCAAGGAGGTTTTAGAAAATTAGCACATGCAACAAAAAGCAAATGTATAAAATAAACTCCTAATGGTATCAATTAAACTTCTGAGAATTCATTTCCCTCTCACTTTGGAATTATGGTAAATTGTGACTGCTTTATGCTACACAGTGTACCTACTGCAGAAATATGTACCCAAAAGCCTTCATTTTGCTGACAAGTTCCATCAAATACATAACAAGCCACATGACGTACCTCATGAGGGTTTTCAGCTACGGCCAATCCTACAAGTCCAGTGGTCTGCACACAGAGCATGAACACATTTAGTATACCTAAGCATCCATTTCCGTGCTACCCGATGATTCTGTTTTAGCTCAATATACACCTGACGGGGACCACTCCATGACACGAGTCTCCGCATCACCCTACGCACACGGGATCCCATACGCTTTGCAGTGCTTTGACAGGGCGGGAGAGTGAGCAGCAGGAGTCCTCACAGGACAAGGCGGCTGCTAGCAGCCTCCCCGGCGGGGCGAGCTCGTTTACCCGCCTCCTTCCTCGGACCCGCCCCTCCGGTAACTGTCGCTGCTGCCATACGAGCACCCGGCGCCTGACCCGCGTACCCCGCGGAACCGGGCCTTATGCTCCCCTCAGCCCTGCCCTCGCGGGGCGCCCGGCTCTCTCTCGCCCGCCGCTCCTCAGGGACAGACCCCCACTGCAGAGCAGGCTGCCCGTCCGCCCGCCCGGCACGGCGCCTCACCTTCCTCAGCGCCCCCGCCATAGCCGCGCTGCGCGAAACGCCCCGTTCCGCCCTCCACCGCCGGACACCGGGTCAGCCGGGCGCATGCGCGCATAGGGCGCTGGGCGGCCTGTGGGGGACCAGTTAGAGGACGCGGCGAAGGACGCCGTTCTGCGCATGCGCTGCTGCTGCGCCAGCCCCAGTTCCGGTGAGCAGCGACCTAAGCAGAGCGGAGCGTACGAAACGCGCATGCGGTTTGTGCCACTGCGGTGACGTAAGCGCCGGGCTGGGGGGTGGGGCGCAAGCGCATGGTGGTGGGTGAAGTGCCTGGCTCTTCGGTGGCGGGGTTTCTGCTCGGGCCGGTGCGGGGCGGCCTCGCCCGCTGAAGAGAACCGGGCCGTGCCGGTGGTGGGGTGGCCGCTTGGGGGGCAGGCGGATGGGCCTTCGCTGTGGAGTGGCGGGGCGGGGAGGGGAGGCGAGGCGGTGTCACTCTTTGTGAGGCCGGGCTGTCTCTGTAGGCGGCCTGGCTAGGTGTGGCGGAGAAGCCAGGCCTGCTTTCGGGTCCTGTTCTTGAATCTGTCGCAGGTCGGGGCCGTGCTCGGCCTTTGTTGGGGGCGGCTGTCCGACCCAAAGACAGGTCGGGGTTTGTAACTCAGTGCTTCTTGGTGGGCAAGGTCTGCAGTAGCAGTACGTTGCAGTTTGTGTTTTGCTGCGCTGAGAAGAATCACAGATCTGGTTATCCCTGTTAAATCAGAACATGTTTACTTATAGTGGTCGGCGTGAAAATTCTCAAGACAGCTTTTGGTCAGTGTGCAGAAGTTAAAATTTTCTAAATGACAAATAATCCATTGAAAGAGCTGTTCTGGAAATGCATTGTACAGAAGTCGAATGTGTGGTGTCTTGCATTTAGATTTTTAGCACGTTTCTAATAAAGATGCAGTGTAATTTTGTTTGATGTGTTTGGGTGGTGACAGCAGGTGAAATCAACTGACTTTTGCCAAGTGATAGTTAACTGCCATAATGAGTTCTCAGTGCTAACAGATTCATAGCTTTGGATTTATTTTCCAAAATATTTTGCAGTGTCCAAGCTTCAGACTTTATTTCAGAGCTCCGTTTTGTGGGTCAAACAACTATGTCGAGCCTTTAAAGTGTCAGAAATATGTTTGGTTGCTGCTCAGAGCAGTTTTGTGTGATGTATGCTTGGAAATAAAGATGTTTATGTCCACTCACGGTGGATTTTGGTGTAATACATGTGATTGGAATAAGTTTTCAGTTTCTGACGTTCTTTCATGAAATACATGTTAGGGTTTGCAAAAGTTTCTAGTACATGAATTCAAGTTTTCTGTGATGTAAAAAATATTACTGATAAGTGATGCAGTGTGCCACAGTAGGAATTTTTATTCCTGGGAATAAGTGTCTTTAGATACCATGTAGAAGCTTATAAGCAATTAGAATGTTACATATTTTTTGCAGAGTTACTATACTAAAGGCTTGTATGCATCTGTTCATCAGTCAGGTCTTCCTGAGGTTGGTAATTTTCTACCTCAGAGAATACACAGAAGTGTTCTGGAATTTATTTAATAAGCAGATGCGTGCATATACCTTCTATGAGCTTCAGCTGTGAAATTTGACTAAGAAAATGTGTTAAGTGGTTAATTAGCTACAGAATCAAAAATAAAGATTACTGTAATAGAATACGGCAGATAGGCAATTGCTCAGTTAATAAAGCAAAAAAAGTATGAAATGCTTAAGGGAAAAAAGACAAATTAGTTAAGGGACATGAGATAGAATGGGAGAAAAAAAATAATGGTAGATATAAACGTGACATTCATTTGAAGATCCAGCTGTTCTGTTAAGGTGTATAATTATGGCCTAGCTGCTGATTTAAAGGGTGAATTTTGCATGATGAGAAATATTGATAATAACTGTGTTGTAAGTTTACATAGTATTTATTTGGACAAATATTTCTTCAGAATCCCTTTGCCCTGCTCTTGAGCTAATGTTTTCCACCACTGCTAAGCAAACCCAGCAAAACAAGTTTCAGAATGCCATGGAGTTTTCCCTGAAAGCTGGTTTTTTAATAAGACACATACTGCTGCCATTCTGTAACTTAAGCAAAATTACTAATACAGGTTATATCAGAATTTCAGGTTTGTGCATCTCCACTTCCAGGCATTCTTTGAGATTGTATCAGAGAGACCTGGAGTTTCTTTCCAAGACACTGAGAATCCCTGTTTCCTATCAAAATGACATTTTTTAAACATTTCTGCCTTTATTGGATTATTTCTGCACTGTACCCTTCTCTGTGAGGGTCCAACCAGATGATACTAATCGACCACAGGACAAATTGTTCGCTGCCTGGTGATCTCAGCGTCATTCAAACAATAGTTCTAACTCTGCTTAGGCAAACAAAGCACGTAGGTGTCCTTACCATGTCCTAGTACAGGTAGTAAAAAATACTAAGCCATGTTGATGAGATAGTTCATTAAATCAGTCCACAGTAGGAAGTTCCACAAACAGTTGCCCTGTCAGAAGCTGCAGTATTATTTATCATCATTAAATGTTTTTATTTATCTTGTGTCCGAAAATGAGATGCATGTAGTGCCTTAGTTAAGCTTACAGTTTTATGGGTCTGTAACTGCAGGTGACTCATAGGGCACGGAAGGGATCACAGCGTACAATTTAATTTCATCAGAAGAATTAAAGATAAGTTGTAAGTTTGTTGTTTCAGTTTGTTACATTTCCTTGTTGTCTGTTGATTTTGGTAAAGATAGTAAATAATTGGTTAAAACGAAAACAAGGCAGAGGTGTTGCATCCGTGATAAGTGTCCATCGTCTTCCTCATCCCATGCATGTGACTGAACTTGCTGGGTACTGCTGCTATTGATGTTAATTTGGGGTTATTCTGCTTTTTCATCATTGTGGTGCTGTGCCTCCTGCTTCTTTGCCCAATTTCAAGTTCTTAAATCTGGTAAAATAAGCACAGTAATTGTCTGTCACTGAATCTTTGCATCCTCTCAGCTTCAGAGATCAGTGTTTTGTGGTGTAATATGGTGGAGTCTACAACTAGTGAAAGGCTCAGTCTTCAGAGATGTGATTTAATTTATGTAAATACGCTACAGATTTTTTTAATGTAGCCCTTGAGACTAAGTTGGCAAATAATTTATTAATGAGAGTTGTTGAGCCAATGAGGGCACAGATAATCCAGACCTCGTGTTACATTTGTCAAGATTGTAGAGAAGTCATGTGTAATACTTTCCTGTGGGTCAAGTCTGCTTATGTTACAGTTGCACAAGGTCAGACCTTAATTTATCTAGCAACTGCGTATTTAATTTTAGAAGTATCACAGGACCCATCAGCTTGCAGGGCACCATTCCTGGCTGTTCAAAAAGCAGGCCCCAAAGTAACAGTGGCAAGGTAATGGGTTGCAAAGGTGAGAATATATGGTATGCTCGCCAATTAGACTAACAGAGAAAGAGCCTAAAACTGTAGTATTTAATAGATTGAGTCCAAATTTAGATTGCTATTAATTATTTTGTTGCTATGAATAACCTCTTTGCATGCCTAAGGGCCCTCTATTTATAGAGAGCAAAGCTAGGTTTGTCTAGTTTATTTTAAGGATAAGAAATTAGAATAACATTAACACTCGCATAACTTTTAACTTTATGCCTGTGTGTTTAGAAGTGATGACTGCTTTCCAAGGAAAGATGCAACTTCCATGATTAGCAAGTAGGTCAGATTTATTTCTATGAAAAAACAGTAACTTAAGAGAGCAAACCCTTTTATTTTTTAAGAAAACCAGCAAGAAGTATATAGAATTTTTCAGGCATAAATGGAAAAAATATCAGACTATTCAGTGTTACTTAAGGAAAATGTTTTTGGTAATACAGAAAACAAAAGTTGTTTAGAGTAAGCATTTGCAGTTGGGTTTTGTGATCTAGTGACTGGTTCTGGAAACCGCAAAGCTTCCATACGTAAATGGAAGAAGGTCTTGCTGCTGAGATTTTTAGCTTTTTCGTTGCCACATCATGTAGTGGAGCGGGGATGTCTCTGCTGCTGCTCAGTGTACCAGCCACGCTGTTATATTCCACTGTGATCCTAGTGGAACATCCACTCCTCAGTCGGACCTTGTCACCTCAACACAGTATGTTACCACCAGTGATATTGTAAGTCAGGCTCTTGAAGCATGTATAGACCCATAGCAATGTGTTCAGAACTTGTGCTGTGATGAGCTCTTTGCCTTATACTTACTCTACCTTGTCACAGCCACTTGATACCTTACTAACTTTCTTGTTTTATAATATATTTCTTGTGCAATAAGATAGTTTGAAAGCAGTGCACACAACAGTTCTGAAACACTGCTCATCTGAGACCTTTCTGGTTAAGTCTGTGTTCAAGCAGAGCTTAATGTTGCCTGTAGCATAATCCATCTGGGGAATACAGCACTGCAGGAGATGACTGACCAAACAAGTATAGAGGTTACATGACCAGAGGAAAAAAACATTTCCATGAAGACCTGTAAGCTGATTTCTTCCTCTGATCTTTTGGAGAGAAAGTGGAGGTAGAAAGGCAATACATATTTTTCCAGAAATAAAAGGATTTTCTCACAAAACAACTATACTGCAAGATGTTCTGTGTACTTACCTCTCTTTGGAATTAGTAACATTGGAGGGTATTGATCACCTCACAGGACTAAACCATATAGATACTGTAATAGACCAAACCAGACTCTTTTTCAGACACTTTTCCATGTGTGGGTCTAAGTCTTCAGGAGTCTTTTTGGTTCAGGCTCTAGGGCAGATATAATACGATGAGCTGTAACATAATTTTCAGTCTCAGTTCTCCTAAGGACAGCAACTTCAGTAGGGATTGTGGGGCACAAGTGTCCATCCATGTGGATCTTACAGGGTGACCATGATTCATTAAAAGTGCTTGAAGAGTTTCAGCAGTGGTATGAAGTCTTCAAATGGAGGGGTTTCAAAATGTAAGGTGTGAAGAAAGGGGAGGTAGCTTCTCTTTGCCTTTAAGCTGTTGTGGAGGAAGCAAGAGATAATAAATGTTATGTGGTTTTCTTTAAGGAATTCTCTTATGTAAATTAACTGGTTAGTCTCATTAGGAGCACTATCCTAATGGATACGTACTTCCCTTTTAGCTGATGACGAGAAGAGGTTGTAGATGAGATACGTTTCTAAATCTGCAAGACTAAGAGGGATTCTATCTTTGCTTTCTAAAAGGTTTGTCAGAATGATGGAAGCTTTAAGATGCCATCAGAATTAGAAAAATATTTATAGAAATGTGAAGATAAATGCACAACAGAACTTGACTTAGAATTCTCCTGCCTGTTGGTGAAGTTCATTGCCAAAAAAGGAGGAGGAAGAGAGGCTCAGTTTCATGGCCATACTGATTATGAGAATTTTACATTCTGGTTAGTAAGAAACTTGTGATAGCATTCCCAAAAACATGATGGTCGGCTGCGTTGTTTTGTGTAGCATGTTCAAGTTGCTGTGGTTTGTGTTACACCTTGGAAGTTTGGCATGGAATACCTTACTTTCGAATAAAGGAAATTACATTAAAACTAAACAAGCATCCTGCCCAACAGGATGGCAGTCAGTCAGTAGTCTCAGTAATTTCAGAAGCCTTTTTTGCATGAGAAGTTCTGCCTAAACTTCAGTATGCCAGAAGATAACTTCAAGAACTTTCCAGAGTTAGTATGATGTGGAGTGGATTTAACATTAGGTAATATGTGAAAGATTCTGATACCTGTGCCTGCATTGTGTTGACAAGTTCACCAGTCATACTTATGTGTAAAATCTTCTTTGTCACTGTTATGGTGAAGCCTTGGTTAGAGACACCAAAGGAGGGAGCAGAGAACTCTTCAGAGAATCATTGTCTTTCCTGAACAATATAAAGGTCTATTCTTCTAAGCCCCAAAAGAAAATGTGTCCATGAATATTTATTGTTATTTGTGGAAGGTTTTTGCAGACAGAAGTGTCAGTCAAGACCAAAATTGTATATTTTTTCCTGCAAAGAAAATGGGATGGAAGTCGAGATTTTTTCCACTTTCCTTCAGATAGTCCATCCTTGCAGTTAAAAACCTGGGCCATGCAAGAAGTTGGAAGCTGCATTATGTGAAATCTGAATCCCAGGAGACCCTTAAATTCTGAGTCAGTCCTTACTAATTTAATTTTGGTTTGCAGGCTTTATTGTAATACTCTAAGTAGTAAAGTGTTTGTGGATGGGATTATAGTATTTGCTGTGGTACTTTGATTGGCTTACTATTTGCTGGAACAATGCAGAAATTAGCCTAAAAAGAAAACTGGTTAGCACTTTACCTTGAAGATAATTTTCAGAAAATGGCCTCTAAATAATTTCCAGTGTTCCTTCTCTAATTGCAAAATTACCCTTATTCCATCAGAAACATACAACAGATGCTTAATATAATTGTTTAGTATGTGTTCAACAATTTGGCAATGGTAAGTGTTCTGTAGGATAGGTACAGTGCATGTAAACTGTGGGAGTAGTAGTTTAAAACTTAAAAATAATTCAACATCTGATGTCCTCTGCCTAATTAAAGGACAAACTAAGATTGAATCTACTAAGATTGAATAAAACAGAAAAATTGGCAAAACCTTAAGCCCGATAGTAAAAACCTAGGTAGCTACATCCAGGCATGTTTGTAGTTAATAATTCTCAAACAATTTGAGTGCTTTTATTTTTCTGTCTGTAATTTTTAAATGTATATGTGTTTGTGTTTATGTTCATGAATTTGTGAATGCTTGTGTTTGACAGGAATCGTTTCTGAGGTGATAACTGTGTTTACTATTCATTGTTCATGCTCCTGTAGACAACATATATTCACTGGCTTGATGACCACAGGTTTCAAAGAGGAAAAGTTCCTTTTTATGGTTCACAAATTTTCCAGTATTTGTCTGTAGGTGATAAATGCAGTGTGTGAACAATAGAGCTTTTCCTAAATGGCATGTCTAGTGCTAAATGTTTCCAGGGTTCACCATCTTTAAATGGGAATTTTAACATTTAAAAATAGAATCCTAGAATGGTTTGGGTTGAAAGGAACCTTAAAGATCACCTAGTTCTACCCCCTGCTGCCGTGGGCAGCGGCACTCGCTGCTAGACCAGGGAATAAACTCACAAAACCATTATTAAATTAAAAGACATTTATGGAGACACCTTATTTATTACAAAAAGTACCTTAAACAAGGTATGATACTTAGCAGTATATTTTTGTGTGTATTTCAAAATAGCTCATTATTATAGCTCACCATAGAAAATAATGGATGAAAGAGAAGATTTGGTTGAAGACCTGCTCACTGAGTATGCCATACAGCTTAGCATCCAAGAATCAAATGGGGCCAAACCACCAGTGTCTTCCAGCTATAATGACAGGTACTGTCCATTCAATATGTTAGAGATTATGCCATATTTTAAAGAACATTTTGAGACATTAGTATTTAGTCCAAACTAGAACAACAATGAAAACGCCACAGGGGTGTTTCAGTGGGGGTTCATACATGGTTATGGTTAAGAGTGGTTCCTGTAATTAGGAAATGTAGGGCTTAGCTGGGCTACGTAGCATGATGAGAGCTTTGGGAAGTGATACTCACTTGGCTAAACTAATACTTTGCTTTTCAGGCCATTTACCTTCTTATGAAAAGTGTGTTAAATAAAGCTAAACTTTGTCTTAATAGTTCTTTAGCAATAATTCCATAAATACATTTTGTAGATTGTTCTTTTTAAAATAGAAGGATGTAGAACTGTAAGTCATGGGGGACTGTTAACGTTTCCCCATTGCCTGTGGGTTCTCATGAAGGTCTGGGTCCTCATTGGGCTGTTGTAGGACTGGAATCTCCCTTTTCACTGAAGGCTTTCTGCAGAGCCACTGGGTTGTTTGGCTGCTTTTTCTTTTTTATTAGATCTGATCTATCTTTTTAATATGCTCTTACCACCAGAATAGATCAAAGAGCTAGCAGGCACCAATAATTAAATCCCATCTCATGGAGGCTTAAATGGTATTGCTAAAATTTTTGCAAGTCTTTTCCATGGAAAATGGTACCATTTTTCCACTGAGATCATCAAACTCTTCTTTAGTGAATATTGACATTCTGACACCGTCACATTCTCGTTTCCTGTCTTAAGGTTTCTGAATCTGTGGGATCATTTTTGTAGTGTGGGGCAAATGCAGATTTTAGTCCATGTCAGTATTCTTCACCAAATTAGGAATTTTATCAGATCAGTCCTCCGCAGGAATTGTGCACTTGAGCAGTTTAGATACTTTGAAGGACCACAGAACAAGTTTAACTTGGGAGGCCACAAGCCTAATCAAGTTTGTAGCTGATATATTCAAAGGAAAGTTAGCTGAGATGAGAACCTAATGGGAAATACTGAACAAATATTAGAATGCATCTACTTTTTCATTACATTTTCTATTTTCTGCTCTTTTTTTTGGATAGTTTTGTACCACCTAGTGAGGAAAATAGGAAAATTGTAACAGCCATAAAGCAAGGTAAAAACCCTAAACCAAAATAGTCCCTTTGCAAAAATAAGCTTTCTGTATATTATTTTCCCAATTGCATCTCATTTATCTGTTGGATTTTTTTTAAGGTGAAGTATTTGGGCTCCAAGAACTAGTGAAACAGAAATATGCTTTGGATGAAGCTGATGAAAGAGGGTGGTTTCCACTGCATGAGGCTGCAGTTCAGCCGATTCAGCAAATACTTGAAACCATTCTAGATGGTGAGTAAAGTGAAAGTATCCCACAATATAAGGGAAGCACCAAAGACTCATAGAGCAATAAATAGCCATCCAAGACAACAGGTTAGAACTTCTCAATAAACGAAGTATAATCAAATCCTTCATGGAGCATCTTGCTTATATTGTTTAAGTACTTGGGCAAATTTTCTTTATGGGAAAGTTGCATTAATTTGCATCTACAAAGAACTTGGATTGTTTTTAATGTTTTATTCAGAAACCTACAGAACAAAATTACTGTTCAGTACGTTTGTCAGTGCTAGTTAGGCTAAGTTAAACACAATTGCAAGTAATTTTCATAAAGACTTAGCATTTAAGGATTTCTAGTATATGTGTATGTGTTAACAGCCTTGTGCTTTAGTTTTGTCTTACTTTTTCTCACGTTCTTAATCTAGCATCTTATAAAGCAATGTGGGAATACAAAACATGTGATGGAGAAACACCATTAACTTTGGCAGCAAAAGCTGGCTTCGTGGAGAATGTCCGAACGTTGTTGGAAAAGGGTGTTTGGCCCAATACCACAAATGACAAAGGAGAAACTCCACTGCTTATTGGTAATTGTCTCTTCTCCCTGGGTTTAATCAGAGCGAATGGCAGTGCTACCCATCTGCCAAGTACTCACCCTAGAACTCCTGTGGGCTTGTGTGGTTTAGATGCTGGTCATCATTTTAGATGAAACTAAATGCCCGGCACATGGTGAAATGTACCCAGCATTCAGTTCAGCACTCATTGTGCTTCAGGTGATCACTGAGGTCACCTTAGATGCCCTTTATGCTTTAAGTGATTGCTGAGCTGCTCCTAAGAAAACAGGACCTATTTTTTTGTAAAGGAACCTTATCTCTACCTTCAGGTGCTATAAAACCTTTACCAACCTTTGGTCCTGTTTGACCTTCTTAAGGTACAAGTACAGTATAAGAATTAGCAGATGCGTTAGCCTAAATGTACTTTTGTGGAGGTCTGGAGGTTATTGAAGATTTTTTGTTTAATCAGGTGATTTCTTCCAGAGTAGGCAAGTACTTTCAGTTTCAGAATCTTCCGTGTCACTTCCCTCCCCTCTTTCAGTGAAAATAAGTTTCAACTGCATTTCTAAATAATACCCCAATACAAAGAAAGAGAATTCCTTTGGAAGATTTTATGCTATTGGTAGACTTAAATGAGCTTTACTGTATGTGAGTAATTTAGCTATATTAGCTTCTAATTCCTCCTAAAGAGACTCAATCTACAAAATTAATGCAATATTAGAAAGTGCAATCTATAATACAATTATCAGTATTAAAATACTCAGTTCTCCAAATTTTTGTTGACTTGTCAGATGCAATTACTGTATTAACATTTTAAGGGCCAGAGGCATTTCTAGAAGATTCCTCTGCAATGTCTTGCTTTAAAATCATAGAATCATGGAATAGTTAGGGTTGGAAAGGACCTTAAGATCATCTATTTCCAACCCCCTGCCATGAGCAGGAACACCTCACACTAAACCATCTCACCCGGCCTTGAACATTGCCAGGGATGGAGCATTCACAACTTCCCTGGGCAACCCATTCCAGTGCCTCACCACCCTTACAGTAAAGAATTTCTTCCTTATATCCAATCTAAACTTCCCCTGTGTTAAGTTTTAACCCATTACCCCTTGTCCTGTCACTGCAGTCCCTAATGAAGGGTCCATCCCCAGCATCCTTATAGGCCCCTTTCAGATACTGGAAGGCTGCTATGAGGTCTACACGCAGCCTTCTCTTGTCCAGGCTGAACAGCCCCAACTTTCTCAGCCTATCTTCATATGGGAGGTGGTCCAGTCCCCTGATCATCCTCGTGGCCCTCCTCTGGACTTGTTCCAACATTTCCATGTCGTTTTTATGTTGAGGACACCAGAACTGCACGCAATACTCCAAGTGAGGTCTCACGAGAGCAGAGTAGAGGGGCAGGATCACCTCCTTCGACCTGCTGGTCAGACTCCTTTTGATGCAGCCCAGGATATGGTTGGCTTTCTGGGCTGCGAGCGCACACTGAAGCCGGCTCGTGTTCATTTTCTCATTGACCAGCACCCCCAAGTCCTTCTCTGCAGGGCTGCTCTGAATCTCTTCTCTGCCCAACCTGTAGCTGTGCCTGGGATTGCTCCGACCCAGGTGTAGGACCTTGCACTTGGCACTTAACTTTGCATTAAGTTCTTTTTAGGAACTGTTAGACTATGAAACTTCAAAGCTATTTGTAGCCTTTGTTTTTAATGAGTGCTGCAAGGAGTTAACTAGAACTAATGAAAGGGTCTTTACCCCTTATAATGACAGTTTATTTTCCTAGATATTTCTCTATACAAACTTATGAAAGTGAGGTTTGTTTGTTAGGTGTTGCTTATGTGATGCTTCTTATGGTTTTGTGTCTCTTAGCACTGAAAATGTGGATGTAGATATTGCTGTGCATCATGCGTTTCAAACTTGTCTAGAGGACAAGATGCTTGACTTTTAATAGGGGATGCTCATTATTTAGTTACTCCTTTTAATTTTAAATCACTGGACCATAGGACTCTTTAGTAACAAGGTAACTGCTGAAGAAGTTTCTGTCTAGTGGGATGACTTCTGCTTCCAGGTACATTTGTTAATACTCTACTTCATAGCAACAAAGAGCGTTGCCTCTTCAAAACCTTCTTAACTATATAATGGGACATTCACAAGAGTTAAACTTGTTAAGCCTGTGATGCTGATCTGTCTTGGTTGCCCACCAATCAGTGGAGAGATCTAATATTCAGAAGTAAAATTAGATTCTCATTCAGGATCACTATTTTATATGTAAATAATTTTGCAGGTGTAGTTACCCTTGAAAACCACGGAACCTAAAAGGACAGAACATGGCCTCTAAGTATGACAGATATCAACTGTACTTTGACTGACAGCAGCCACTGAGTACATTAGGATTAGAGTTACTAGATGACAAAGCCACAAGTAGAAGTAGAGTTTTTTAGGACACTGTAATGTTTACACCAACTTTAAAAGTAAAAGCGGTATTCAAATATGTTATTTTCATTGTTGTTTTCCTTTGATACACCTGCTTCTGCTTTCTCAGAATCAAAGTGGCGCTGCTTTTGCCCTCCGTGTTCCCAACTGACATATTTTCTAGCTTCAGTTGGTTTACCTTGATTTCCTGAGCAGCTGACATTACCACTAACTTACCGGTAAATTGGATTCCGAGGTTTCTAGGACTGGGAATCTTTAATTTCCTCATATCAGTACAAAAGGAAAAGCCTTTCTGAACTTGATAGATGTCTTTCACTTTTAAGATAAAATACCTGAAAATGCATTATTTTCTTCCTTTTTAAAATATATTCAAGCTGTAAGACGGGGCTCTTTTGAAATGGTGTCCACTCTGATTAAGCACAACTGTAGTATCCACCAGCCATGTGTAAAACGTTGGTCAGCAATGCATGAAGCAGCAAAACAGGGACGCAAAGACATTGTTGCTCTTCTTCTGAAGAATGGCGGAAATGTGAACCTTAAGGATGCATATGGAGTAACACCACTAGGTGTAGCTGCTGAATACGGTCACTGTGATGTGCTGGAGCATCTTATTCATAAAGGTACGCATTTTGTTCATAAAGATATGCATGGGCATATGTCTTACCTGGTTGCTGGGGTGTCTTAGCATGATCATGGAAAAGGAAGGAGAGAGTAGTGATGAATGAGAAGATTGGTTTATTGGAAGGAAATTAAGCATATGTGAGAGTTCCTGCTAGACTGGAGTGATGCTTGCATGTTTCCATAACACATATGAGAGGTGTGGCAGAGTCGATACCAATCCATTTCAGTCAAGGAAGGCCTTACTGCTGCTATTCATGCCCCTCTTGCCCTTCTTTCTTTCTCTTTACTCTTGTCATTCCCTTCCTTCCCTCTGTCCCTCTCGCTTCCTCCCTCCCCTGTGCAGAATTATATTAGTATTAGTTAATGAAATTAAGTATTTTTGAAATACGCCAGAATTTTTGAAATCCTCAGTTGTAACACTTATGTTCAAAGCAGACCCCACTCAGGTGAGCATTTGAACTTTTCTCTGTCCAACTCTTGTTTTGCCTTTTGAGTTTTAAATTTGCCACAAGAAATATTTCTTGGTTTGGTAGCATTTTAATTTAAATACATCTGAAAATGAAGAGGAAAGTACTCTGGGATTATTTATATGATGATCTGCAAATCATTCTGAACATAATTATGTCCTCTCAAGGTGGAGATGTTCAGGCCTTAGCAGATGATGGTGCGTCCATACTTTTTGAAGCAGCCATAGGAGGTAATCCAGACTGTATAGCCCTTCTTTTGGAATATGGAGGAAGTGGCAATGTGCCTAATAAGGCAGGACTGCTTCCCATACACAAAGCAGCTTATGAGGGGCATTACCTGTGAGTATGAGCTTGACCTTCACATTTTCTTTAATATTCAATGTGGCAGAAGGTTACATTGAAGAATGGTAAACTTGCAAATGTTATAAACTTGCATTTATATTTCAGAAATGTCTACGGTAGCATTAGTTTGAAATAACTTTCAAGCTCTTTTTAACAGAAGCAAAGCAAAATGCAAAACATACTCCATAGAACTGAGTGAAAACCACTTAAACACAAGGTCCTGTTTGATAGTGTTCAAAACTGGTGTTTTCTGTGTTTGCATATTCTTGTTTAAAGTGTCTAGCTGGTAATTTAGCATATAGCTGAATCAGGGTAATTTTTGTTATTCAGGGAACTGATGCCTAACTAGTTCTACTCGCTGTTTTTTAGGGCCCTGAAGTATCTCATTCCGGTCACATCCCAAACTGCAATCCAAAAAAGTGGAATAAACCCTGTTCACTCAGCAGCAGATGGCCAGAACTCACATTGTTTAGAGCTCCTCGTTGAACATGGTTTTGATGTCAATACTCTCTTGGCTGAACACATTTCAGATAATTACGGTGACAAAAGAAAAACTGCACTTTATTTTGCTGTTTCTAATAATGACGTTCTTTGTACTGAAATACTGCTGAAAGCGGGGGCAAATCCAAACAAGGATCCTTTAAACTGTCTTCTTGTGGCAGTGAGAGCTGGCAACCATGAAACTGTACAGCTGCTCCTATCTTACGGAGCAAATGTCAACTGCTACTTTATGTTGGTTAATGATACACATTTCCCCAGCGCCATTCAGTATGCTTTGAATGATGAGGTGATGCTGAGGCTGTTGCTCAATCATGGATATAATGTGGAGATGTGTTTTGACTGCATGCATCAAGATATCTTTGGAAATTCTTTTGTGTGGTCAACTCCCGAGGAAGAGATTCTCCCTGGGTGGACTTCTTCTGTAATAAAGGATAATCAAGTAAATACATAATTTTCTTCCTTCTCTTCACTTTGCTCTTTCCATTAGTCATCTTTAAACATTGCAGATTACTGTGCAGATTTAAGATTAACATACTGGCAAAATCCTTTTTTAAAACACCCTTAAAATAAAACAACCATTTGCATTTCCTACTCTGAGGTAGAGAAAATTATGTACATAGGTTGATTTTAGATTGGGGTTCTTATATTAGAGCTTTAGGAAGGATGTTTTAAGAAATTTTGAGGCAGGGTTCTGGAAATTCTGTTCTATCCTAAACCAGTGGGGTGGATGTATTTCCAAAGAGGTATTGCTGTTGAACAAAACAGTGCTGCAAATTATAGCAATGTTATAGTAATTATTGACCTTCAGGCCTGTCCAGATGAATTAAGGGATCACAAAGGTTAAGGATGGAAGAAAAAAAATTACTTTTAAAGTAATGTACAGAGGCATCGGTTCATGACTGTTAAGTCTTTGCTAATACTTTGTTTAAATTAGCTTGTGTAACTGCTTGAAAATGTGTAATTTTGGCATTCTGCACAGATTTTGAACTTATGACTTATGTTCTTCCTTTCAGTTCTGTGATTTTATTGCTGTTCCTTGGATGAAACATCTAGCAGGAAAAGTGGTTCGTGTTTTTGTAGACTACATGGATTATGTTCCTCTATGCACAAAAATTAAGTTTGTCTTAGAAACACAGAAAGAGTGGACAGAGATCCGTCAGATATTGGGTAAATATATAACTTCCAGTTAATAATGTTCTATTATAGGAGACTTTTAATTGCTGAAGTCGGGTCACATTCATCCAAAGTGTTTTAGCAGTCCAAATATTTACTAGCCAAGAGCCAGGTTGTGCTTGTCATCCAGTTCTTGAGACAGATTGCAGCTGTGTAGGAAGCCTTTTTAGTTAGGCCAGATTACTGAGGTACTTCTCAAACACCTTATTAACCCATGTGACACTAGCCATTGCACAGCTATGGGGCACAGCTCTTTTTCTTGAGGAATATTGCTCGCACTTCCATCCTTTGTGCTCCCTTGGTCTCCCAAGTCTATTAATCATTGAAGAATTATTGTAAGAGCATGGTTATGTTCAGGATGACAGGTGGTGTTAATGAGTGTTCCGTTACAGTCTCTGTACCATCATTTCCTAATTCTGATTTACATGATAGACATCTAAAGTTGTCATTGCTAATAATGTGATTGAATAATATTTCTTACATATCCTTTAGTTTTGGATTTCTACACATTAGCCTGGACCTTCCACTATTGGTGGTACCAGAGATAAGTTATACCCTCTATAACTTAAAGAAATCTTTTGAAGCATGTATTAAATGTTCTCTTTGTTTGCATTAATTTTGACCTCTTTTTCTTTTTAATTTTAAATAGAATTTGATTTAACTTAAGATTGTAAAAAATATTTAGGTTTAAGACTGGTATCCTGTATTTAATTTTGCTTCAGTATTTTACATTGGCCTGCAGAGGAACTCCTTTTTGTTAGTGTCACAGGAACATCCAAATACTTTGGTAGTCTTAACTACTGATATTCCAAGTATGGTGAAAGTTTTTGTTATGCTCAGGAAGGCTAAATTAGACTGAGTGCTCTGACTGAGGTAAATTCTGGTAAGAGGTATTTGTTTAGAAGACTCAGCAGGCCTGAGCATGGGAAGGTCTGGCCCTGCTGCTTCAATGATTAAATGGATGGTGTCATGGGTGCACCGGAGACAGTGCAGTGTACATATTTCCAAAAGTGAGACATTTCCCAAAGTGAGACAATAATGCTAAGCAGTTAGCTGACAGAAGAAGTTTGGTTAATATCAGCTTTGTGTATCATCACAATTCTGAAGTGACAAGAATTGTATTTTATTCAGAAGTGGCAAAATCATAATGCCCCAAGATACTAGATTGTGCTACTGATTTTACTAGAGCATGTTTTGAGATTGCTAACTGTCTTAAAATCCCTGTTAATTCCCACCATTTATTTCTGTCACTTTTTTAGACAATCCTCGCCCATTGAAACATCTCTGTCGCCTGAAAATACGTAAGCTCTTGGGGTTAAAGAGACTGCAGCAACTGTCATCCATGAAGAAGTTTCCACTTCCACGAATTCTCAAGAACTATATCCTATATAAAGAATATGATCTGTATGGAAAAGGGATACATTTAGAATAGTTTGTAAAAATAACTGCATACAATCTGTAATTTGACTCATTTCCTCACTTTTTTTACTAGCTAAAGAGCTGTTTGTGTTTCATATTCATTTACAACATTCTCATACTGGTTGTGAATAGTTCTTTTATGGGAACAAATTTTTCTTCAGAACTAGTACATTAAAGATTGTGTTTCAGCACAACAGTCTGCTACCCAAATATAAACTAAAATCAGAATAAGGATGCTGTAATAATTATGTAGGACAGTACCCTCTAAATGGGAATTCAGATGAATAAAGGATGAAAGGATAAAAGACGAATTTTCATGATGGACTTCCCAATGAAGATGATAAATACAACTGATGCTCTCACCTTATGGCACTAGTTTATTTATAAAAGAAAGCAAAGGTCTAATTTATCTTGGCAAAGAAAATTAAACCACTGAGTGCAGGTCTTTGTCATGTAGTTGGCCCAGAACGTAGCACGTTTTGTGCTTTGAAGATCATGGTCCTATTATGAAATTCTCCAAACACATGATTCTCTTTAGCTGTTTTTGCGAAGTATTTCCTCCCAGGTATGACTGATATGTGTGCCAGTACTGCATGTTCAAAGCCTGGCAAAACTTGAGGGACTTTTAAGTAGGCTGTTTTAAAGAAAAACTAGATTCTGACAGAGAAACCAGGAAATCGGGCAGCATATTCCCTCGATTGAGAAATGTTACAATGTTGTAACTTTAATAATGGATCTCACCAGTTTTGATAGATCAGTTCTCCACCAGACTAAACGACACCCTCAGTCACGCTGTGATGCACTTGGCAGTATGCTTCTGCACCTCTACATTAAATCACATCTGATTATTAGAAGCGGATTACATTTCCTGCCTTTTCTGCTCTACCATCCCTTCTTTCCTGGGGGAAAAATATCCCAACAAACCAGTCTCCGTAAATGAATATATTTCAGTTGATGGATGTCAGGATTACATAGAACATAGTCAGAGTTTAGCTAAACATGATATTTAAGAGATATGCTGGTTACCACACTCAGATACACATTTGCACCAACCAACATCAGCTCAAGCATCCTTCTGTCTTGCTCCCTGAACTGGCTTTGCCTGTTCTTCAGAACTTCCCCTTATTTGCCAGATGTTATTGTCACATGTAACTTATTAACACCTCAGTCAGAGGTGTAAATTCCACTTCCAAAGGCAGCTGTATCAGTCATAGAATCATAGTATAGTTAGGGTTGGAAAGGACCTTAAGATCATCCAGTTCCAAACCCCTGTTATGTGCAGGGACACCTCACACTAAACCATGTCTCCCAAGGCTCTGTTCAACTGTCCTTTGTGGGTCTGTCTTTCCTCACAACAGATTTACAGAAGCAAATGGAAGGAATGGATATGACTGGTCTGGGACATGTAGAAGGTTGAACAGAAGGCTTAATTGCTGCTTCTGCTCTCACTGGGGCTACTGTTCATCTGGGTTTCCAAGACGTGTTTTCTGGGGTTTTTTGCCAAAGGTTTTCACGAGGATGAAAAAGAACTTGTGACAAACGGCTAAGTGTCTGGCATCCAGGCCAGGCCTGGCCCCTGAGAGATACCCAGGGTGACTGGTGCCTCCAGGCATGGCCTGAGCACAGAGTGCCCAGTGAACCCAGCACGGCTGTCTGCTGTCGAGGCTCCACTGGCCAACACATCCTGGACATACCAGGCTAAATGCATGTATGGTGTGTAACCTATCAACTGATACTTCTATTTGGGAATTCCTAAATAGAAATATGGGCTTAATAAGTCTTTAATAGATGTAATTTTGGTGAATACAGTAACCACAACACAAGAATCTGGGTAGTCATGTATCTGATACAGTATACTGCAACCAGCAAAGGAAACATGATCAAATAGGGCTTTAGACAGGAGATTTTAAACCCTTTCTGTGGCTAGAGCCAAATTCCATTAGTAATTTTAGTTCGTGGGCCAAGGTTTATATTTAAGACTTTATACATGCCTCAGGCAATAGTTACATTGCCTGTGGCATTAAAGCATTCAGCTCTAGGACAGAGCATTGCTCCAACTGTTTAAAAGGTAATGAACTAGTCCTTAGAATATCATTAGGTAAGCTAAAAAATATATTATTGTTTTGTCTTTTAAACAATACATCTGGGCCCTTTTTGTTGTTTGGTAGCCAGAGAGAGGGCCTCATCCCATCCAAAGCTTTTCTGTCCTTCAGCATTGAAGTAGTTTATTTATTGAAGACTTGCCCCCCGCCCCCTGGATGCTAAAGGTATTGCAGCATTATGAGAAAGCATCTTAATGCTTTCAAGGCATCTGTGAACTGGATAGAGGCAAGAGAGGCAAGACTTCATTTTAAATGGAATATAAGGTGAGATAGACACAGAAAGGGAGCTGTGTAACCCGTATCATCTTATAGCACAGCTAGGAATTGAACGCAAGTCTCTTGACTCCCAAGGTTTGGAGCCACAACATTGAATTCTCCTCTTGTGGAGCTGAGTATGTGGTGATGGGAGCAGGGCACGTCCAGGGCTGGTGGTTGTGTGAAAAGAGGCAAAGGCAGTACCCTTTTTGCTGGTAGGAAAAACTATTCCTTCTTTTTTACCCTGCTTGGACTGCAATTGAACCCTTGCAATGCTGAGATTTAATTTTCTCTGCTATTTGGGTGTGACTCACGAGTGTTCCACAGCAACCCAATTCCATGGCATGCCCACCCCATGGGCAACATTGGCCAGCAGTAATTAAATGCCCTGGCACTGATTCAGGCATGCTCTGGGGTAGGGACTCCTATCGGTTTGGGAACAATGTTTGATAGCAGAGATATCATTTGGTCTCTGTTTCTCATCAAATCTGACACAAGCAGCTGCACCAGATTGATGTGCTCTCCAAGAAGGCAGAAATTCAACAGTGGTTACATCAGCCTTTGCAGCACCAGTGAGACAGACTTTGTAAGATGTGTTTTCATAGCTCCGTAAAAAACAGACCATAGCCATGAGTTCTGATTATGACCAGCTATTCCCTGTAGGGGCCATATATGTTACGTGGGCCATCCATAAAACTTCCATACACTGGCTATCATTTAATCTTGGGAGCTGGCATGGCAGATCCTTGTCCTGGGCATCAAGGGGGCCAGTTTTACTGTTTCACTGCACCAGTCAGTGTTCGAGATGTTTAGCTATGATTTGCATGGAGAAGAGGGACAAATTCATGATCGCTTCTCTCTCTAGAACAGGTCTTACCTCATTTGCTTTTCCATCATTCTCTTTAAAATGCACCTAATCAAGAGCCTCTTGCCCTTGCTTCTGTTCCTTCTATGTAACCAGCTTTGCCTTTCTGATGTACTTTCCCTCAGCTCTGGTCTACATGCTAAATCAGTCCTTTTAAAGCCTTCCCCCTAATTTTTGTTTCATGTGAGTGTCTGGACTAATAGATCTCTGATCAGGAAAGGTATCAAGAAAAGCAATTCTAACCAAGGGATTTTCAGCCTTAACGCACCTCCTTCTTTTCCTGACCTTCAACTGGAAATTGTTTGTTTAGGCTGCAGTAATTAAAAATGGCTCCTTGCAACCCAAGGTGTCTATCCCTCAGAGGCCTCTTCTGACCTCAGTTCAAAAATACCCCATCTGTCTCCAAATGCATGGAGCAGTCTTCAAAGAAACCCATCCCAATTCTTTACTAGGAGAAATGCTGGATAAATCAGGGAGAAGTACATGGGTAAGTGCACTGAATTACTGTATAAATATTTACAGGTAAATTTTGCAATGGGAAGCATTTTCTCTCTGAAATTCTCCCATAAGTGTCACTCACACCAGTAAAAGAAGTACTTGGATCAGGAGAAATATTCCCTTAGGAACCTGTGTTTCATGGTTCTCCTGAAGAGCTGTAAAAATACATCAGTAAGCGGGTTAGTAGTGATAAGACTGCTGTAACAGTGTAGCTCTCGCTCCATGTAGGAGGTATTTACATTTCATTTTCAAAATTCACATTTTCAGTAGTAATCTCTACTTTTGATTGGGAAAAAAACATTGCCTTTTGTCTGCATATTCTGCATGAGGTGCCCAGAAGTCCCATAATCATTAATACAGACTATTTAAAAAACAGACATAAAGACAATAGAGGATTAGTGAGTACTGCTGCTTTTAATTCCCTATGAATAACATCACTTCTTTATATTGCTGGGATCGCCTTTTAAAAAAATCTTAATAAATGCTCACCGTCGAAAAAGAAACAAAGCATGACAAAACCCAAGGAAATGCTAAATACAGAAGCCTTAAATACCTGTATTGCTCCCTGTGTATAGAGGTAGAGCAGTTTTTTATCTGAATGACAAACTGTAGGTTTGACTAAACTACATGGGAGAACTGTCTGGAACTAAGGCATTAACAAAAGATTAAATCCATGCACTTTTTACAATCACTTATAATTCAATAACTGCCTGATCTAGACATGCAAATTCTGGTGTATTTGCAAATGCCACCACAAATAAGAGAATCCTTACATTGGCAGATGTATTTTATCATGCTTTCTGGGGAAAGAATAGGCTGACTGCAGCTGCTGAAGCCACGTCCCATTCAAACTGCACTTCCCACATTTTTTTGTGCATGCAGCAGTTCCTCTGCTACTTTCTTTGCAATACAGTGGCCTCTGCTTCCTGTCCAAAGCTGTTGAGCAATATCGCGATGTCATTCCAAACAGCTGCTGTGGTCACCCTATGTCTGTACATCAGTAGCGAGTGAAATGGTTTCTATATATAGTTTGTAAATCTGTTGGCAATGTTTGTAAAGCACACTCAGATTCTTCCTGAGGGATGAGAGCAGCTATATGAAAGCAGGAGCATTAAGATCACTGCATACAAAGCAGGTCATTTTTTTGATGTGCCAGAAACTGGCACTGTGGAAATGGCCAGTCTGCAGAGATGTGGAAAAGCACTCGCTCTGAGCAAAACACTGGCAGGACTACCTTGTGCTGTCAAAGATAAGCAGGTTCAACATGCGCTGTTATTGCAGAACATGGCATTGTACTGACACTAGA